GGGGAGTGGTCGAGTCCAGAGGTTACCCTATCAGGGACCCAGCAGGCCTGCTAAGGAGCTGTGGGGTTGGATGAGCGCTGAGTGGGAGGGTGTTGGGTGGGTGTGGCCTTGACTCCGCCCAGGCTCCGAGGCTATTAGAAGTTCCACGCAGCTGGAATTGTGGCGTAGTGGTGGTGGTGGCACACTCGCCTATGACGGCACCAGCCGGGTCAGCTTCCCCTCTGGTCTGAAGTGAGGTCTGAGCCGACATGGAGCAGGAAAATAGGTGGCCGGCTGTGCATCAGACTCCCACGGTGAGTTTGTGCTCCAAGCCCAAGGAGGCTTGTTTAGTCGATAATGTTTTGAATCAAGCATTAGAGCCTGTGTTGGGTGGTGAAGGGAGGGATTTGTGTACCGTGGGAAGGGTGGGGAGGAAAACGTATTTATTGGAGCCCTTTGCCAAACTCCACCAATTACAGCGTGAGTTGATTTTTGTTCAAAGATGGTTTCTCTGTGTAGCCCTGGCTGCCCCGGAACTCATTCTGTAGACCAGGGATTTGAGAAGGATTGGAGAGAGGGATTTGTGTACCATAGAAAGGGTGGGGAGGAAAAATGTATTTATTGGAGCCATTTGCCAGATTCGACTGATTATGGCATGACTTAATTTTTTTGGGGGGTGGCGCAGTTCAATGATGGGTTCTCTGTGTATCCTTGACTGTTCTGAAACTCACTCTGTAGACCAGGTTGGTCTTGAACTCAGAGATCTGCCTGTCTCTGCCTCCAGAGTGCTGGGATTAAAAGTGTGTGCCACCACCGCCCAGCTCCATGTCCTGCTTTTAAAAACATTAATAATCTTATTTTTATTTATGTTGGGACAAGGTGTCTATGCTGTACTGGGCTATGTAGACGAGACTAGCCTCAAACTCGAGACTGGCCTGCCTTTGCCTCCCCAGTGCTGGGATTAAGGGCGTGGACCAATGTGCCCGGTTTATTTTTGCTAGGATTTAAGTTGTGTGCAGCCACACATGTCCATAATAACCTAAAAAAAATTAAAGCCTTTAACTCAAACACTCCCTCCAAAAGTGCTCTTGGAGAATAGGGATGCTCATTTCAAGGCAATAATTAGAAAGCCATTGTGAGGAACCAGGTGTGAGTTAAAATGCCAGGCCTTAAGCAGAAAGGAGAAAGTGAACATAGGGAGTTGTTGGAGAGGAGACAATCACAACTGGTGATTGGATGAGGGTTCCAAAAGCACAGAGCTCTCCTGATGCCATATAAGTACTAAGTAGCCAAGAGGTGATTTAAGATGTAAAGGGGATTTCTCCAAACTGAAAACAAGCACCAATTTATCCAAGGGATCTGAACATCAGTGGGTGAAATCATGGACACAGAAGGACAGCTGTTCTCAGATCTAGGCGGTGAAAGCAGCCTAGGATAGCCCAGCAGACTTCTCCCTTACAGGACTGGGTGTGAAGAATGACATTTGCTGAGACAGACTGGGATTGTGGCTGGGGTAACTTGACCAGAGACTAGGAAAAAGGCCAGGAAAGTGCGTGCACGTGTGTTCATGTGCTGAGAAGTGTTGAACACGTGGGAGGCAAGATCTCTGAGTTTGAGAGGCCAGAGTTGCAAGATAGCCAGGGATACACAGAGAAACCCTGTTAAAAGAAAAAGAAGAGGCCAGGTACCCTAGCCAGGCGGCAGTGGCAGCACACATCTTTAATCCCAGCACCCGGAGGCAGAGCCAGGCGGATCTCTTTGAGTTCTAGGCCAGCCTGGTCTACAGAGTGAGATCCAGGACAGGCACCAAAACTACACCAAGAAACCCTGTCAAGAGGCTAGGTACCCCAGAAATAATCCCCCACATGCTTTTTGTTGTTGGGTTTTGTTTTTGTTTTTTTTTGAGACAGACTCTTGTTTGTCTTTTGAGATGGTTTCTCTGTGTAACAGCTCTGTAGCCCAGGCTGGCCTCAAACTCACTGAGAGTTCCTGCCTCCCAAGTGCTAGGACTGAAGTCATGCACCACCCCATCCCCCTGCTGAGACAGAGTCTTTACATAGTCTGGCTATCCGGGAACTCACTGTGTAGGCCAGGCTGGCCTTCATCTTAGAGATCCCCCTGCCTCTGCCACCTATATGTTACCACATCCAGCTCGCTGAAATACTATTAGATACATTAAAATTAATGACAGTTTCTTCCTTCCTTCCTTTCTTTTCTTTTCTTTTTTTTTTTTTTTTTTTTTTTTTTTTTGGTTTTTCGAGACAGGGTTTCTCTGTGTAGCTTTGGTGCCTGTCCTGAAACTGCTCTGTAGACCAGGCTGGCCTCGAACTCACAGAGCTCTGCCTGCCTCTGCCTCCCGAGTGCGGGGAAACAAAGGCCTGCGCCACCACTGCCCAGCGACAATTTCTTTTGTGTTTATTCTGTAACTATTTTCTTTGTGGGTCTCATGGAAATTGGTGTCAACCCAGCTTCCATGTTGTAGTATTATACTTTATATGTATATAGTATTATATATTTATCCTAAATTCAAGTTTATGATCTTCTTATTTCTAATATTTCTACTCTAAATCTCATTCTTTGTTTTTTTTGTTTGTTTGTTTTGTCTTGTTTTGTTTTATTTTTTTCTTCTTGAGACAGTTTCTCTGTAGCTTTGGAGCCTGTCCTGTTTAGACCAGGCTGGCCTCGAACTCACAGAGATCCCCCTGCCACTGCCTCCCAAGTGCTGGGATTAAAGGCGTGTGCCTAGGAATATACTTCTAGTTGTACTTTTTCGTTTCAGCCTCCGGAGCCCCCATTAGAACGTTTTGCAGGGCAGTCAGTTAACTTCTCCACTTTTGTTTATCGGGTGTGCGTTCCTGTTTCTGTTTTTTTTTTTTTTTTTTTTTTTTTTTTTTTTTTTTTTTTGTTGTTTTTTTTTTTTTTTTTGAGACAGGGTTTCTCTGTGTAGCTTTGCGCCTTTCCTGAACTTGCTTTGGAGACCAGGCTGGCCTCGAACTCACAGAGATCCGCCTGGCTCTGTCTCCTGAGTGCTGGGATTAAAGGCGTGTACCACCACCACCGCCCGGCCTGTTTCTGGTTTGTAGCTGGTTTTGCTGGGTACAGAATTTTTGCTTTGTTCTTTGTTTGAAATAGCCTCTCACTCTGCAGCACTGGTGCACTCACCATGTAGCCCAGGCTAGGAGGAAACTCTAATTACAGGCATGTGCACCTCACCTCCATCAGACATAGC